ATGAGATGTGAAACGTTTTTACAAACCTAAAGACGTTTTGTTGCCTTCTTTAGTTCATTTTCAATGATTAACAGATCACTTAAAGACCCTAACCTCAGAGCATTCACAACAAGATGCAAACCATTGGTACGCCTGAAAAACAGAAGAACTAGATGGAGTTGGCAAAAACACACAAAGAAACCAGCACAGACCTGGAAAATCATCAACCCCTGTCAGAATGATGGAAAGTGAAAAGTTTAGAGGGAAAAAATGTCAACAGCTCATGACAAAAAAAAATGTCATCTATCAAACGCTGTATGTTTGCTATTGCTTGGGCATGTATGGGTAGTAGTGGAACTGCCACACTGGCATTTATTGATGTGTTCACTGCTGATGCAAGCAAAAGATAAAAGGTCTTTACAGGATAGTCCTGAGTACTCGGGCACAGTCAAAGGTACCACAACTCATTAAACAACATTTCAGCAATCAAAAAAGTCTTCAAGGTCAAGAGGTCAACCCAAGTCAGTAACTTGATCTCAGTCCGATTTAGCTGTATTCTCCTGTATTCCACTAAAGGCAGAAAGACCCAACAGTTAGCACGAGATGAAAATAGAAACCCTGGAAGAGCATCACCAGTTAGTTGCTATCACACTACATAAAACACAATATCTAGATGTCCTGCCATAAAAGATAAAGGTCGAAACGGTTACAGTCTGAAAGTTGTTTCTTGTTGCCAGTCCATGAAGGGCTACCACAAAGAGAGACACAATAATTCACTCACCCTCACTACCGATTTGGAATCATCATTATCCTAACATGCATGTCTTTGGCCTGAGGAAACCGGCACAGGAAGAATATGCAAAGTTCTCTGGAAAAGGCCTCTGGCTAACCACTGCACTACCGTTCAATTTGCTATCCCACACAGTTCTTTTTACAGAGGACTGTCTGCAGTCCTGTGAAAAACTTGCTTGCAGAACCACCTTTAGCAGCAATAACTTGAAGGAATCGTTTTCTGTATGACTTTATCATTTTCTCACGTTGCCGTGGATGACTTTTGAGCCACTCTTCTTACAGCCTTGCTTCAGCTCATTGAAGTTTGCAGCCAAAGCGCTTCAATCATGCTGAAGTTTGAACTTTGGCTGGGAAATTGCAACACCTTGATTCTTTTCTTTTTCATTGTGTTGTTGTGCGATTCATTTGGGACAAGCTTTAGCCGTTGGACAGACTGCTTCATATTTGACTCTAGAATATTTTGGTAATATTTGGTAATTCCTATGAAACTATTGAGAGTGCTGTTAGTTATTGTCAGGACTTCAGAGTCACAAGAAGACTGTCCTTTTCACATGATCGATATAAACTCCAATTAAAGCTTGAACATGGTACCTTCAAACTGAATGCACTGACAATCAGAGCCCAAGAAAAAGAACAAGATAGTTAGCCCAAATACTTATAAACTGGTCTGTATGTCTACAATAAGTAAGCAGTTAAGTTAAAGAGAGTTGCTACTATTTAGCTTAAATTAAGATTGAGATATCCATCAGATGAAATTCTTTCACCAGAAAAACAAACCAAAGAAACACTGTATAACATGTATCTTTATTTCATCCGTTCAGCTGTTAATATCGCACCTCCCTTAACCCCAAACCTCCGTTTAAGGACCGTGTAGGTGGTCTTACACCTTTGTTTGGGAATCACTGCATTCATGCAACTTTACACTATAAAGGACCATCTTTATTTGGTCTGAACAAACGAAGATTATATGAAGCCGTTTTAAAATAAGTTCTTCTATAACATTAGTAATATACATACACATCCTAAGGTTTCCTCTAGTCAGTGGGAAGTAATGAACACCGCAACGTACTGTAGCTTATATGAAACTTAAAATATCCCTGAGTGAGCTGAAAAAACGCAGAGCACTAGAGAATAAGAGTGTTGTGATTATTATAGAGTGGAACAGTAAACACTGCAACCTGGAATTTAGCTGACCGGATTGAAGTCATATAGCTTTAAAATAGATTACACAATAAAACATTCACAGCCTACTCAGAGGGAACTTTATGAGAAACTGAGCAACATTGGCACGGTAACCTGTTAAGCCCCAAACCATCAGGGGAGCAGAAAACAAAACAAAACAGAGAATCGTACAGTAAATTCTGCCACTACCTTTAATTATGAGGTTGAATTTTCACTGTGCTGTGCAGACCTGATATATGGACTTCTTTCACATCTGGGATGAAACACAGGCCAGCTGTGGCTCTGGCAGAGCGCCATCGGAGGTCACCACAGGGCCTGGAGTGACTCCAGCTGTTTGCAAGTAGCCCAGATGATATATAAACTCTATAAACAGCTTGAGACTGTGAAAGTTTGTGGCAGGAGCCAATAAACCGTTAAGAGGGATCAGCAGCATTGTCTCAGTGTAGATGGTAGCCCGGGCTCTGCAACTGTGCTGAAAACTGAAACGTTCAGAGGGTTGAATTAGGACATCAGAGACTGGAGAGAGAGAGAGAGGAGAGACCATGCTGCAGTAATTCCCAAGGGACATGTGAGAGTACTTGAAAATTAAAGCTCAGCTGATCTGTAGCATTTTAACACCACTAGCTGCATGTGATGTAACATGAAACCAATTAGCAAAAATAATAAACAAACATTTGAAATGTTAAATGAATAAAATGGTTAGCTGTGGGTATGCTTAAATGGTCTTTACTTTACATTTTCATAAAACTCATGAAACTGGTTGTTTCTAGGATTACAATGCCCCAGCTGATATGACCCAAACCTGACTCACTTGAACACCTTGTGAGATATTTTTTGACAGACAGCACTCCCTAGTACTGTGCACAGAAAACTAGGTGGAGGAACATATTTTGCACTGATGCTGTTTCATCCCGGGATGCACGGCGGTGTAGTGATTAGCCTCGTTGCCTGTGAGGGTAAATGGTCGTCTGTCCAGGGTGTACCCTGCTTCTCGCCGTACCTCAGCTGGGCTCCAATGCTCCCACGACCCTAAACTGGCTAAGCAGAAGTGTTTGCATGAAGAAAGATCCCCCTTGCAGAAAACCAGAAATTTAGCATGCACTTAAGACTTTCTGACAGCGTGTAACAGCCCAACAGCTTATGACCTCTGTTTATTCCTTTAATTTGTCACCCATGTTTAAGCCAAACCAAACCAACCAAAAGTTTGTTCCAACCAAAAGTTGTAGTCAAATAAATGTATTAGGTCGTGTCTGTTCATGAGCCACATGCTGCCCCGCTGGGCCAGAATATTACAACTGCTGCACAAGATTGAGCTGAAAAGTAAAGAAGTAAAATTTCACTCTGTAAACGTCCACATTCACAAGTTTTTCCACATTTTGTCAGGTTTTTTTTTACATTACGGAGAAGCACTACTGCTGTGCTTAAAACATATGCATCAACAAAGCATGAAATGAACAATTTGATCCTGTGTGTGTGTGTGTGTGTGTGTGTGTGTGTGTGTGTGTGTGTGTGTGTGTGTGATGCCGTCCTTTCTGCTACAAAATACTGGAATCTGCAATAAAAACCTAAACTAAACTCAAATAAAGTAGTCCATCAGTCACCAGTGTAGACACTGCTTCTTAACTTTAAAGCAAACAATTCTGTTAATGTGTAAAATGAATTCAGATCACCCCCCTCTTTTTCTTCTATTTTTTTATTTTATTTTGTAAAGAGCAAATAGGCTGGGAACCGCTGCCAGTCACACTTTACGAGCGCACACAGACGGCAGAAACAACAGGCAAATGAGACGTGATGCATAAAATAGTAAACTGTTTTATTCTTTTTTTAACCATGCCACTGAACACTGACGCATACAGAGTTGTGCCTGAATCCACACGAAGAAAACACTTTCACACACTGTGTTACAAAGCTGTAATGAAGAGGGATTTTACTGCACACATGGCAAGAAGAACAACCCTGATTGGATACCAGGTCGAGCTTTGATCTGGCCCTGAGGTAGACAGACATTGACATAATCTAAACAATGCTAATCACATCCTTCTAGGACACATCAAATAAAAGACAGCTGTATTATCACAACATAGAAAGATCAAAGAAAAAAAAAATCCTTTTCAAACAAAAGTGCTCTATTTCTTTTGGTCCACCGAGGAAAATCCATTTATAGTGCATGTTCATGTAGAATAGATACAGTGAATGTGTTTTCATGGCACTGAGTGTTGTTGGCTACTTAAGAAGGCATTGGTAATGCCCACAGATGCCAAGATTTGCTATACACACTGTTTTCATCCAAAGATGTCAGTCCATTGTCACTTTGAAGGGAACAATTTGAGACAAGCGTGTACTTTTTTTACATCAAAAATTGCTTGGAACTTGCATCAGAGTATCAGCCACTATCACAGTATGTTGCTTCCAGTTGCAATGTTCAGACAAAGTGGATCTACATGGCAGTCTATCTTTAATTGAGTAACAATAAACAAACACCCAGAAACAACTACCAATAGCACAGACCCATGTACTCAAGCACATCAATGCTCTACTTATAAAAGAGGCACAAGGGAGGGATCTTAATCAAATCAGAGACTTATAAAACACACACATTAAGATGTTTTCTTTTTTTTTTTTCTCAAATCATACCAAATGTAAACAGATAGCAAATTACTGTAATACAAAAATACAACATGTTTAAATCTATAAGGCCCGTGTTAGGCTGACATAAGGGAATAACATACCATGACAGATTTTACATTACAGCTACACTACAACTGACAATAACCTGCTCATAGTAATTCAGTGTCAGAATTTTCTTTTTGTGTTTGGTTTAAAAAAAACAAACAAACAAAAAACTACTTTTCATGTTTTCTTCAGTTTTCTCCAAGAAAATTCTGATTCTGTGATTTTTATAAGACATCTATATATACCGTAGTTTAAGGGACAGTTCACAACAAAAAAATCAGATTTTTTGGCTGTTAGTGCCACTCGTTTGTTTCGTTTTAGCGCGAGCCGCCCAGTTTGAGAAGACAGCGCTGCTTGGAGATGTCGTCCTTCTCTTGAAATTCATCAAAGTAAATAGAAATCATTATCTCAATATGCAAATAAAAAAAATCAACCAAAACACAAAAAGCTCAGTTTTTTCATATATCAACTATTCCACACGGCAGTTGTATCAGACGGCATCACAAAAGGCTCGTGCTTGTGGCTGAGCTGTAATGTTAGCTACCTGCAGGCTTCTTTTGGTTAGCGATTACAGAAACTACAGAGTAAATAGTCCCTACATGAAATTGCTCACAACAGAGTTTTGGGGTTTTGTTTCTTTTAAAGTAACCGGGTCAGTCTCTGTACCATTTGATTCCATCATAATCAAGAGAAGACAAGCATCTCTATAAAAACTGGGCGACTCGCACCAGATGAATAAACAGCACTACAGACCAGAGGAAAAATACCTACATTTGATTTTTGGATAAACTGTTCCTTAAAGGATTTTTTTTTTTAAAAAAAAAAAAAAAAAATACACAGAAAGCCGTGTTGAGGCATTTTTTACACACTTTTTGACCATGTAATTTATGATGACTTCTAAAAAAAACCCAAACAAACTGAAAACGGCTGATGGATGAATAATTTGCAGTGGATTTAAAACAGTGAAAAGCAAGGAGAGGTAGAGCTCGCTCTACTAGAAATCATCCCAAGAGAGACGGACCGTCTGATGAAAACCAGCGCATATTTGGTAACAAATAAACAACGTATAAATAGCACAACCTTATTACAAGAGAAACTCAAATTGTGAGCCAGCTACCCCACCCACCTGAAACAATAACACCCACTGCAAGAAAGACAAGGCAATTAAAGAGATCAAGCTTATGAGGTCAAAACGTGGCAGCCATTCAAGTAAAACATGCAGAAAAGAAACAACTCAAATAAAAATCCAACAGCAGGAGAAAAAACAAAAAAACCCAAAGCAGTCACAGGAAATTAGGAGAGAAAATGTTGCAAAGTTCAGCCAATCAAGCCTTCGTGGAATTATTTCAACATCTACTGCAAATCACAGACGATAACTCGGGTTGTCTGATGGTTTAGCAATCAGTCAAAATGCTCCTGCTACACATACAGGTCAGCAGTCACAGCCATTGTGGCATTGATTTTAACCACAGTGGATCCATTAGAGATACAGTGATTATCAAAACTTGTGTGCGAGGGAGACGGTGTGTGTCTATGTTTGTGCACGTCAGGGCTAAAACGGTTAAGTCATCAGGAAACTGTCAAAAATGTGATAATCGATTAATCCTGCAATATTTATTGGACTTTTTTGGGCAAATATCTTTAAAGAATTCAGCTTGTCAACAAAATGTGACTTCTTCTGCCCTTTTTTTTCCCTTTTAGAGTAAAAATAACCTGACTGATGATGAACATTGGTTGCAGCCCTGACGTGTACGCCCATCTGTTTTCGTGCTTGCACGTCTAATTGTCGGGAAAAAACAAATAAAACCAACTCAGTATCTCTTTCAGCGACATCTCTCCATAATACACTTCCCAGTTCACCCAACAAGAATTCAGACTCTTTCAAAAACCCTTACAGAAACATTTCAAACCAGCAACACAGGTTTTCATCCAACAGTGACCGTGTGCGTGTGAGTGTGTGTGCCAGTCAGACTGTGCTTGGAGTCCAAGTCCTGCTCAGACGTAACAGACATACAGGTAAGTCTTTTCTATCCTCCAATCCGCCGGCACCTCCTCGGGTTTGTGGCCCTTCATGTGCTTCTGCATGGCAGCCAGGCTGGGGCAGAAGTCCTGGCAGATGGTGCACTGGTACGGAGACGCTCCGTTGTGAGTGCGCAGGTGCTTGATCATAGCAGAGTAGTCTCTTGACCGTTGGTGACAGAGCTTACACTCAAATGGCTTCTCACCTGAAAAATTCAACAATACGGCATTAACCTTGTAGACCTGCAGCCAGATGAGACGGGACTCGCCTCCTAGTTTAGGCCGCTGCACTTTCAGAGGTGTGTTTGTATGTCGGTGCTCTAGGGTTAGACCTGAATTTGATATTAACATTTCAAACCCTGAGCCATGAAATAATACTGGCAATATCTTTCTTTTTTTAATGAATTCGTTATTAAACCTTCTGATAATTTTTTTTAAAGAAATTAAATATTAATTTGCATATATTAGTTTTAATTTGTATCATATTTGCTACATCTGGTATTTTTTGTAATTTGTTGCTTAAAATTGGGTGAAGGAAAAAAACTGATAATCTAGTACTTAAAACTCTCAAAACTCACGTATTAAATATGATACAATTGGCTTTAAAGGTTTTAAAATGAGTCTGTCAGCATCCAAAAGAAATTTCCTCCCTGTCTTAAAAGAGGGACGTGATTAATTTATGTGATTAATATAAAATCACGTAAAAATAAAAAGCCTCACTATGGCCATTCCTTAAAGTACAAGATAACTAATGATTAAACTTATTTCCTTCCTAAAAAAAAAAAAAAGTTGAAATTTTGACAGAGCACATTGTTAGCTGTAGAAGAAATGCTGTGTTTTATTTATTTCTGTCTTTTTCTAAGGCCAAAACCTTAAATGCTTTAGTCTAAATCAATACGTTCCTGCCCTTTCTATGGCAGGCATTCCCACTGAAGAGTCTTTAAAGTGATTTTCCAGCATAAAGATAGCAGGGCACTGTAGATTTTAGTAAGCGTGACTCATAAAGGAGTAAAATACTGCTTTTGTGGGGGACGATTTATACACATTGAATTATACAAACGGCAGCAGCAGCATTGTAAATGTGCCATTAAATGAAAATGTTGGCCGTGGTCACTGTAATACCAAGTGCAACACTGCGGTGTATCCATGTCTAATAAGAGAGTTTTGGTGTGCCGATAATACAGGCGATTGTTGGACTTTTCCCTGGATCCACCTGAAGGACTTTTTTCGAGCGCGCGCTCTTACCTGTGTGTACGCGGTAATGTGTCTCTAGCTGGTGTTTCAGGCTGAACCTCTTCCCGCAGCCGTTGCACTCGTAAGGCTTCTCTCCCGTGTGGATGCGTTTATGGCCCCTCAGCGTGCCGTCATCTCTGAAACAGCTCCCGCAGAATTCACACTCAAACGGGTGATCGCCTGAAAGCACAATCGTGTCACAGCAGCAGCAGCAGCCGCAACACCAACACAGCCCATTATCGTGAGAAGCATTAAAGGCTAACTTTATCTTTGGCTCGACACGGCACGCCGCATATGTAGCTGCATAGGTCAAATAGTCACAGAGGCCTTTCCGCACGTGCATAGCAAACATGGGAAATGATGTTCTTTCAGACGTTGCTAATGTTATGACATGAGGACACTCCTCTTGGCTGTCGGCTAATAGCTAATAAAAGTCCTCCAGGCATGTGCTGCTCTGTTCTCTATACTGTAGTTAATCTATTTCTCTCCTAGGCTGAGGGTTTGACTCATCTCCAATGACCTATGTGCCTCATTATCTCAGTGTCCACAGCAACAGCCAAGTCAGAGGATACATTGCTCTCCTCATTACAGGCCGATTCTCCCCAATCCCCCACCCCACTGTGGAGCAGATGACATTTACAAAATGTTACTTCCAAGCAGAATGGCATACAAACAAGATACGCTGCCATGGCCAAAACTCCCTTCACTTCTGTCTCTTCACATCAATTATGTATTTCTCCTGTCTAGACATCAAGCCGTCCTGACAGCTGGGAGTGTTATTTAAGGTAAAAGAAGAAAGGGGGACATCTTTTCAGTAAATATCTCTCCGTCTCCTGCGGCACTAAGACTCACCCTTGGTAGAACACACAGACAAGTCATTTCCATTTGCTTTTCCTTCAATATTTATTTGGGTTTCCTCTATCATTTTGGGTGAACCGCACTAGAACTGACAGCCGTGAATTGCAGAGGCCCGAAGGCTGTCTAAGAACCCAAAATATAAACAGGATGAAATTGCCCAAAATATGCACCGGCCATAACGGTACAGTGCTGTCATCGCCGAGGTGAGTCATCTTATAGAGAAGGAAGGAGGGTGGGAGAGGATGCATGCAAATTGACTAAAACCTTAAAGCCAATAACCCCAGGAAATTAACCCATATACCAAAATAAATACAGCTGTCTCTCGTCTCCTCCTTAACGTATGCATGTGCCTGACACCGACATGTTCGCGTTTTATGACTGCAGCTGACACTGTGAATAATGAGGATGGTACAAATGATCCGTCTCTTACCCGTGTGTGAGCGCAAGTGCCTTTTGAGGGTAGTGTGGCTTGGAAAGGGGCGCTCGCAGTGGCTACAGATGTAGCTGTGCATGCCTGCATGGGCCTCCATGTGCTGCTGCAGGGCCTTCTGGGTCTGGAAGCGCTTTGCACACAGCAGACAGAACACCGCCATGTCAGTCCCTGGAGAACGCGCAAGACACAGACGCACAGTTATTTCAGTACCATACACAGACAGGGCCTTAAGTGGGGAAACTGGGTCACTTCAACTTTGTGTGAGTCCTCTGAGGGAAAAGCTTCTTTCAAAGAGCAAGTGCCTCTACCTAAACTAACTCCCCTAAAAGCCCAGAGGCACTTTCAGCTGTGAGTCTTTATACGTTCTATTTTAAACCATGAAAGTCATTGTTTTCTTTAAGAATTTCCCACACAATGCAGAGCATGCCAATCACACAATCAATGGCTCCTTCCTGGTGTGTTAGATGTGTAATTATTCTCTTCATTCCCCATCAGGAGTCAGCTACAGCCTGTGAAGTCCTCTGTCTCTGTGCTCAAAGAGCAGCTGATAGTAGCTCCACCCTAAATGATGCCTACACTATGCGCTCTGTGCAGAATGTTAAGTAGTGATATCAAGCCATTAAAGGCAGGACTGCAGGAAAAAACACAATCCAGTTTAATCCTGTGTGTGACCTGGCATCTCTTTGGGGCTGCTTTCCTGTTGCACAGAGTGTGGAGAGGAATACAGATAGGGAGTCGCTGGCAGGCTAGTTTAAGTCAAAATGGCTATGTGAAGAAGATCCATTGGCTGTCATACAGTCAACATTTGATCTACAGGATGTGTACGCCAGCACGCTCCACTGTGACATTCACACTGATGCAAAATTCATATGTGCACCGGTGAGGGACTGGTTAATCAGTGGCATCGGACGTAATGTGCATGTCCTGGAGAGTGAGGCTTTAATGTGAGATTATGAGGTCCTTATTTCTCTGTCTGCACAGGTTGCAGATCATTTACAATGCTAGCAGGTCCCATTGCTCCTGACTCAGATTCAATCAGACATCTCCAGCGGAGGATCATTAGTAAACAGAGGACTGTGCCAGCACTTCATTGGAATTCAAGTGGGGTTGCTGTGTCGCATTTAAAATGCAGTCTGATGAGGTCCACTAAATCAAATCATTTGTTACTGTTATTGAAGTGCCTTGAGGCAACTGGCAATTAAATTGGAATTAACGCAGGGAAAGGGATACAGCACACTCATACTAAGAGGGAAGAGTGTCAGACACTTGCTTTAGGTTCAATCAAGTTAAAGACAAGCCTGTTCAAAGGAGAAAGAAAAAGAAACAAATCAAGCATATTCACATTTTTTCAGGGATAAATCAAAAACGTTGGCTGAGTATTGTTTGCTCATCCGCGCATCACAGTTTGCTCAAACAATGAAAGACACTTTAACATTTCATGGATGACTGCAGTTTAGCTTAAATAAAGAAAGCCTCAGCTTCCTGTTTTGTTTTTTCTCTCAAATCTTCTGAAATTTCACCCCAAAACAAAACTTAATAAAACCGATCGTTCACAATCATTAACGGGAATAAGGCGGGATGAAATGCATTCCCCGATCTTAAACGTCCTGCCGGGAGCCGGTCTGATGGAATGAGCTGCACCTGTTCAGAGGCTTTAGCCTGTGCTCTTTTCCACAAAGGGCACACAATGAGGTTCAGGCCCTCATTGACCAAGCCCATTAGTCATAGGCTCCTCATGCAACTCGTACAATCCCTGTCTTTATGTTGTCGCCTAATGACCGAGGCCCTTTCTCACACATGGATCACAATATTTTAGTTGTAGACAAAAGACCCTCCAGTCTCAATGCCCCTGCGCCCTCCCCACTCCCCTTATTCGCTGACCATACAGGAAATCCTTTCACTGGCTAACCAGCTTCACTTTCTTTCTGAGTCATACCTAACGAATGCTGCTTTTGCTCTACGCTGTGTAACAGTATAGTCTGGATAATGATCTATCCAAAATGGTTAAAAACACTTAAGAAGCAGAAAATGCAGTCTCTGAATGACCCCGAGATGTGAAGCCTTCCTCCACTTTAACCAGCTAGCAGTAAATTCTTTCAACCAGCAGGGGGAGCGCTTTCTGTTCCAATGTGTCCACGTTACTGTAGCTGCAGGCAGAGCAGAGCCCTCAACCAACCGAGCAGCATATTATCCACCTTGTAGATACTTCAAAGCTACTTTAATTATCCTCCCTCTACTCTCTCGTTATTAACCGTCATATATTTTAAACGCCTGTTTCGGTGCAGCTTGCATATTTTCCTTTTTTTTCCTCCCCTGTCTGCTCTAGAAGTTTTACATCCTAGTTTCTCTGTGGAGGTAAACCGTGACTCCCCGACACACTCGCAGACACTCACAGATGTACATCCTGATCTTTCTGTCACTGACAATGCTGAAACTTGAGAAAAGGAATATGACAACTCTTCTGTCACAAGAATCTCAACCCTTGATCTCGGGATGACACGCAGTGACAACAGCTCAGCAGTCGTTTTCGGTTTTATTCTGCGCAAGCGACGCTGAAAATAAAAATACCAAATAATGTCTTGAAGTGTAAACAAAAACCTTTGGAGGCGAGGAAGTGTTTGTATGCGTTAGCGGTGGCATTTCGCCTCACTGCGCTCTGTTAACTTTTGAAACGAAAAAGGTTTTGCGGTCGTGGAGTTTTCCAGTAAGCTTTGGTAATAAATGCTGGGGAGATTCTTTATGAGAGAATAAGCCCTAAAGTTGGCCGTCACTGCCCCCTGCTTTCTCACCCTTAACCAGACAATGGGTTTGGACTTTAGGCTTTAAGGCACAGGATGACCCCCTGACCTATGGCCCTCAATAGGCTAAAGACCACGTAATCAATAGCATTTCTCAAAGGCTGGAGCGTTGACTGAGCATTGTGTTTAGTGGGCGGGAGCTTTAACAGTGGGAATAATGATTTACTTTTAAGCAATTCTGCTACGAGGCAGAAAATCTAAACATTTACTGTGTGCGTTATGCGACTAAGCTGCTCATCTAATGCACAATTAGGTTAGTAATTGAGGACAGTTTGGGGTTGTTATGCGATTTCAGCATATTTCCATGAAGCCGATGTGTATGCTCGTGTGATTTAACATAGTCTGCCTTCATGCATCTGCCACTTATTCAGTCCAACTGAGGTGGGAGCCAGCCAGGCTCTCACGCTGCCTAAGAAACAAAACCATGTGTCTAGGCAACCAGATAGGATCATGGTCCTTGTTGGGGTGAAGTGTTCAAGCTAATCCCTTCATTCACAAATAAGCGCAGCCTGTTTCTTTTCAAGCAGCAAACAAAAGTTTTCCCACCCTGAGATTCTGGGAGTAAACCCACGGCAAATTGGACAAGAGATTGTATCAGTGATGACCGCAAAGCTGTATAATTTCTTCTGTGTTAATCTTAACTTCAGTGTCCTGAGCCTACAGATTACACTGGTCGAACCGTGAAAAATGTCCTTTCTGTGTTTGCTGAAATATGCCGTAGACTTCATTTTAACAGCATCGGTCACAAATAACTGGCATTGTTTTAATAGACGCTTTCAGAATTCGATCCATTAAGGCATTTGTTTCGGCAAATTGTGAATGACGGCCGAGTCAGAGCTGAACAAATCACCTGCTGCTATCAAAACAACAGCGGCTTTCACAGTTTACAATATTAACACCAATGCTGTTCGCGACTACTAGTATGCAGTGTAAAGGCACTTTCAGCTACGTCCTCGGGCCCTGCTCGCCGTCTGCCGGCACACTGCTATCACCCTGTTAAACATACACAGCCAGGCGGGCTACGTGCTATGTGCTGGACCTCACATGACCCCGTGCGTTCAGGCTACTGTACGTGTTCATGCGGACAGCTCCATGCAGAGCAACAGTACAGTACCTTAAACAACCCCGGGCCCTCATCAGTAGACTGCTAATCTACCCGAGTGAGGAACAACCGACTCAATAATTAATGCAACATGAGATACGTTGCTCGTGTTTAACCACCATTCCACGGACCGGTTCATTGAGGTCACACACTGATTCATTCGCCTCTGTTCCTAGAACGTTTGCTATATTATCTATAGCTACTGTATTTCACTTTACATGAAATGGCAGGGCAGCTCGGGGCGTGTTTGTGTGTGTGTGTGTGTGTGTGTGTGTGTGTGTG